TTGAGCATAGCGGAATTTGGCTATAACATATGTCAAGGGAAGAATCTACATATAACCTAGCATTATGCATATTCTGGAACAAGCTAACAATCTATATTTTTTTATCAAAATTTCGATAAGCGCCGATGGAAAAGAGCAAGTGCGACATTTTTGAGGATTATCGTTAATCGGCTTTGTGTGAATATCAAAGCGTGTTCCTGTGCATATAATTTGCCAGAACTTTTTTGTTTATTTTCCTTTGCATGGCACTCAAGCTAAATAGGCATCAAAAGCAAATCTCATGCTTAAGTTAGGCGCATTAAAGGAGCTGTGCAATCAAGCTGCCAGTTTACTGGCATTAGTAATGAAATGTAAACACGCAATGTCAGCAAACTTTATACACACAGTGTAAATACATATGTATGTATGTATGTGTATGTGTTCAAGCGAATTGTAACAGACAATAGTTAGCAAAACAATGTTACGCATTTGAACAATTGCCTTTAGCTTTGTTACAAACTTTGTTGTAGATGAATTTCCCTTTGCTTTATCTGCGCTGAATCAAAATGTGAGACAAACTGCTGAAAGTCAGCTGCAGCGGATGCCCAGCAGAAAATGTTGGCGCTGCATTCTTCTCAGCTAACTGAGCTGCTATAGAAGTCTATCAAATTAGTTGACTGCAATATACCCTGTACGCAGTCTAAGAACTAAAGAATAGGCCATAGCTCTGGAATAGGACGCTTCTCAACAAATCTTTAGTTGAGAATTAAGAATGCGGCGCTATTTACATCGGTTTCTTATCTGTCAGTAGATAAAAGTGGTCCGATACTTTGCCTAGTAAAAAGCTTAGACAGCAAATATTTAAAGTAAAGTACATCGCATCAAAGTGAATACATATCGCTTGGCTTCACTCAACAATGTATCATTCGATACTGCTCCAAAGTATCTCGAAGGAGTATCGAACAGTCATTGTGTAAAGGGTGTACATTCAAATATTTACAGGGTATCTAGAAAGCTGAGGACGTACCTGCTCTCTGCCACAGTCTTCACTTTGCTGTTAACTACTTTCGTCTTTTGTGCATATTTGCATAACTTTATCAACTTCTAACTCAGCAACTTTATGGATTCGGCGTGTGTGCTTTGGGAAACATGAAGCTTGCTATGCAAATTGACAGCTGTCAATCAAACGGGTCAGGCCCGGACAAACGGCAGCAATCGGCTGTATTATGCGAGGCACCATCCACTTGAGTATATAAGTACGTGCTGCCCCAACAGATGCTATCAGAATACATCCAAGCAACTGCAGCTGGCGCTGCACTTCAAATTGATTAAGCGGCCCGATGCCGGCGGCGGGCCAGGTGGCAATTGGATTGGCCAAGTTAAGCTGCCAACTTTTTGCCCCAACTTGCGGGCCAAAACTTTGCCAGCAGCAGTCGCTTCTAATACCCTGTACCCGTTACACGGCCAGAAAGAGATATATATGTTCAGCCAAAGAGCCTATCCAGCTATTTGTATGCGCTAATATGAAACTATTTGGATTAAATGTGATATATAAGTGTTCTTAGAAATCAATTTGTGGCTCTGCTTTTTGCACACGAATCAAGTGTATTTCACTTTTTGCAGCCTGTCATCGTTTTGCCAAATATAAGAAGTTTACTCTTCTTGAGTTGGCCAACTCTGGCACCTGAAAACTTTGTGACGATCCGACAAAATGACCAAAAGTTAACTGAGAATGACAAATCTAGGGTATGCCTTAACCTCAACCACGAATCATCTCGATTAGAGCACTTCTACTTGTTTAAAAACTATTTTATTAAGTGACTAAAGGCCAATCTGCCATGTCATAAATGTGTGTCCGTGTTTTATTCTTTAATAGGAGGAAAAGCATTCAAAGCCGAAAATTGTGGGACTTTCACCCACTAAAACCACAAGCTATTCTCCGTTTCCCTCTCACGAGGGGGCATGGCATGAAAGCCTCTTCCAGAATCTTATCTAAAGCTAGAAAGTTCTAACTCAAGTGAGTTGCGCTGTCTTTCAGCGCGACGCAAGGATTTGATGATTTCTGTAGACTTGTGGGTTACTTCAACCCAATTGTTTTGCGTGCTAAGTAGGATATCTATCAAGTCAGTGACTGCAAAAGTTCTCCCAATACTTTGGCTTAGCTGTTCCCGTACAGTCGGGTGTGTCCGTGTGTGTGTGTGTGTCTGTGTGGGTGTGTGTGTGAGTAGCTGCCAACTTTTCTATCAACTCGCACACACTTGACAACTTCCGGTCGTGTTCATGTCTATGCAGCTACAACACACACACACACACACACTTCCGCCCACACACTCTGTGTGTGTGAGCGAATGGTTGGATTTCAGAGTCGACATCTGCCAGTTATTAAGTTTGCGGCCACAAACTTGCCGTCCACTAAAGTTTATGCTTCATTTTGATTGGCTTTGTAAGGTCACCACCCAACCACCCAACCACCCAATGACCCAATCGCCCACCCAGCGGCAGCGGCAAAAACCACGTGTCTTTTTTAGTGGCCAACTCATAAAACTTCATTTAATTTCAGTTTTTGTCTTAGCTTCCAAATGCGGCTTTCATACACTTAGATGTTACACATTTTGCCCACAGACTGTTTATAAAGCTTTGCTATATATATAAATATAGTTATATATATATATTTATATATATGGAGTATATATATATTTTTCTGGCAAGCATTATGTACGCTTTATAGCACACGTTATTCAGTTTTTAAGCTGATTTAACTGTGTAGTTTTGGGATTTTCATTTTAGGGAAAATGTTGTGTGTACTCCGCCCCATTTCTTTTGCTTTTATAAGTATGCCCAGCATATTTTCGCATTTATAAGTGCCGCTCGGGGCGTTTGTTATTTTAGCTCCTACCAACCATCCGCTCAAAAGCTGGATTGTTTTCTTTTTCCACTTAGCCTTTTTTTTCTAAATGTTATTATATGCAAGTGCCTCAAGCTACCAAAGACAGCACCTAACCCGCCCACAGTTCGGCGCTGTTGAAAAGTTTACTCTTCATTTTTTCAATTTCAATCTGAAATTTCGCATAAAAATTGTACTATTTGTACTGCAATTATTTGTATGCTCTTGCATACGATTTGTATTAACGAAATTGATTTGAGTATGAGCATGGGCACGAATATGAATATGAATATAAATATGAATAGGTTAACAAGCGTTCAAAAAATACTTTTCTCTGGCCATTTATGGTTTCACTAATTCACGTAAATTGAATGTTAAGCTGCTTGGATCGAATGAAATTTTACATTTCCATAAATCGAAAAGGAGCAAAAAGCAATCTGACATGGGTCTGGCATATCAGTCAGAGGCACCGTAAAGTGGGCAGCCTGCAAAGCTTTCATTTTACATTTAACATGCCCTTTTCAGGCATATTAACCTGGAATCGGCAGTAGGCAGGTTCGAAGGTAGCCAGTCGGAAAAAATAATAGGTCAGCGATTGATTCTATAATTTGTTATCATCGGAGTGTAGTTGTACCTATCATAAAGAGAAGTACTTCTTAGCATATTAAAAGACCTTCTTTTCTAAGAGCTAAACACACCAAAGTATTTCACTTCACAACGATCGGACTGAATGGTCCGATGCTATTTAAGAATACATATTCCCTAGTGTGCAGCAGAGAGAAGCTGCGTAATAGATTCAAAGTTGAGTTATAATACGCTCTGCAAAACTAATGTTATTATTAAGAAGTTTAATTAATACTTAGTCTTGAAACATCACAAACGAAGTAGCACAAATTGCATGTTTGATTCGTAGTCAGTTCAATTTGTTAAAAAATATACAAATATAACATATAATATTAGCTCTGTATATGTAATTATGTATGATTTAAGTGAATTTGCTTTAGAAACTTATATTTAAACTTAACTTAGTCCTGATATTCTTTACAAGTACGGATTTATATGCTTTTACGTAGTTTTGGTTTTACCCCAAATATTTGGATTCAAATAAAAAAAAAATAATTAAAAGAGAAAAAAAATTAATAAGAAATTCAAAATTGAATTTTACTTATGAAATCCCCTTAATGTGTTTTTAAACCAACAAATATTCTTTTCTTCAATTTTTTTCAGTGTATCTCTGTGTCTCTGTGTGTAGCAAAGTCCCCAATCCCCGCCCCACTTAATCAAAAACAAAAAAAAAAAACCGAAACGAAAAATAATCTCAACAAGCAAGCTCTTGATGTATGCTATTTGCTAGAAACTTTTGGACACTTCGGCTAGCCGAGGCTTAAATACTCTTTCCACATATAACATTAATTTGGGCGATATTTAGTAGATACTCCAACATTAGGAATCTCAAACTTGTCTGATAATATCAATAAAATATATATTCAAGAAAACTTAAATAAAAATGTCTTATGGAAACTTCAAGAGGAATTTCGAAAATAAAAGCGCAAAAAAATGTTCACAAATTTCACATACTTGAAATTACGTCAAGTAGACTTGAAAACTTATGTGAGCTGCATTAATGGACTGTTAAGCAAATTGAAGAGCTTGGCAAAACAATGGAAGATATTTGCAATAACTGCAGTTAAATAACTTGTTCAGAACAAGTAGCCTGGGGTAAATGCTTTGCGAAGGGAAAGAGTATATAAATTCCAATTGATTTCATTTTAATTTTCGAAACCAAACAGCAATACTCTACCTAAAAGCTAAACCAATAAAAAAAAAAAAAAAAAAAAAGAAGAAATCAAATTTGTTGGGTGCATTGGTGAAAGGTATGCAAAGGCGTTGTTAATTCAATGAAATACTAAATCACGTGCAAACTGAGGCAAGCACACGCACGACCGAAGGAACACGCCGGCAACAGGACAGCAACAACAGCAACAACAACAATAACAACAGCAGCAACAGCAACATCAACAACAACAGCAACAACAACAACTGAGAGTCATATAGCAATATTTGTGGCAACTAGCTCGGTTTGCAATTGGATAACTAAAGGGATCTGCACCGCTGCAGACGCAGAACGCCATGCGCCATGTCAAAACTGCGGCATTACAGGTCCATGGATCAGACCAGCAGCGGCGTCGTCATACGCAAAAAGTTAGCTAATGAACAAATCTTAACATCACTTCTTAGCAACTGACCAAGCATATCTAAACACACAATAAAACACAGCAACAACAACAACAAAAGCAACAGCTCGAAAAGCAGCTAATGTGACTTTAGCTTCTGTCGGAACGCACTTTAACTGCAGTTCTTTTGCGTTGCCATAAACATTTTTCAACTCCACCACAGGCACACATCAGCCCACCATAGCACATCACCCACAGCAAGAGCTTAAAGTTCAGCATGTCACATTTGCAGCTTTTTGAAACACTTTGCATGTCCTTTTATCGCATAAGCTTTTAGCATGTTATCATTTTGATTAAGCACTTTTCATTTTGCACTCGATTAAACAAAGCTCACAAGCGTTAGCGTAAGTCAGGCTTTACAGCCAAAGCTCTAACAGTGAAAGCTTTCTTGGGCAGCCAACATTCGTCCTGCCTTAACAGACAGGAAGCGATAAAGTCATGAACAGTTACAATCTTTTACACAGTTGCATGTTAATGATCAATTAAAATGGACGCCCGAGAGCTTTATAAACAATTTCTTAAATTGTCTCAAGTTGTTAAGTCCGATTTTGTAAAAAATATTCCGTTGAAAAAAGCTTTTTACATTGACAAAAGCTTTTACTCAATGTAGTGTCCTTCGTCTACAAATTTGGGCACATCCCATAAACTACCTAACGGTAATAAAAGCTCAAAAGGAAACTTCAATGAAAGCTTTCACTGTGCACGCTACCGAATACATGCACTTTTAGCTTTTACCAAGCTAAAAGCTCTTTCGCAAACCATTAACGACAAACAAATCCTTGCTCGACTTTGCCCGCGCCCAACTCAATCCGCACTTTCCTCACATACGCTCCGATTGCTTATCCCTGCCGCTTCCTCCTGTATTTACATGGCTGCTTCTTTATGCATTATCCTTGTCGTTGCAGGACTATGACAGCCGTATGCTTTGTGTGCAACCTGCCCATAATGTCGCATCAGGTTGGTCTGGTGTGGCAGGGCGGCAATGGCTGGGACGACTTGGTGCGCGAACAGGTTAGTCAAGTCCATGGCCTTGTCCCTAAACTCTCGCCTAAATCTTTATCGGTCTCTCTTTCTCTCTCCTTCTCTCTCGGTCTCTATATTTCTCGTAATCTCGGCAGCTCGAAGAATCTACGATACGCCAGCGTCTTGGAGGCCGTCGCGATTCGGCCGCACAGATCACAACGCCGCCGAGCTCATCACCGCCTCCTGGCTTGCAACGACGCCGGCGCAGCTCGCTGGCTCAACTCACTGACATCTTGCGCGAATGGAGCGGCGGTTCCAGCAGGCAGCAGCAGCAGCAACAACAGCAGCAGCAGCAGGCGGCTCGCAACAAGGCGCATCTGAATCGCCGCGAAACGCTAGCCGATCTGGCACGCAGCCTTCCCTGGCGCACCTCCACCACAGATGCCAGCACTGGCGGCAACGTTGGATCCGGCTCCGGCAGTGGGGTCGGGAACACCACCTATGTGACGCCGCGCAAGCGACGCGAATCGAGTGCCGATTCTGGGATACGCAGCATACGCTCCCGCCGCGACTCCAGCACCACCGAGTTCGTCAAGCACTGGAACCGTCGCGAGAGCACCACAGTTGAGGAGCAGTCCAGCAGCGTCGTTGTGCCCATTGTTGTCGAGTGCTCGAAGAGTGTAAGTCGGTTTTTATAATAGATTAAGCCCCCAGCAAGATACTCATCCTTGCGGAAGAGTATGCCTAACCAAACTCTATCTCAGGCTCTGTCTGCATTAGCTGCTCTCTAAAAGTACAACTCCATTGTTTGGAAGACCTTTATAAGCAGAAACTATGTAGATGGGCCAGATATAGTTGATAGGAAGGGGCTTTTGTTATCTAGAATTTACGGATTGGTATCCCCTGCATGCTATTATAATCAAGAAGTATCAGCCTTTAGGATTCCACGTTAAAGGACTCTCCTTAAGCCTTAAATCCGCTCCCATATTTGAACATATATTTTGGTTAATCAAACTATAAGAGGGTTGAAAAACAAAAATCTTTGAAATTGTTTTTTCCATTTAAAACAAACAGTATTGTTAAGGTAAGACCTCACACCTTTGTTGTCAGGGAAGTGTATAAGGATATAAGTGCTGGCCACGGTTATGGATTGAGGTTCCGTGCCTAAGAAACCTGCATAGACTAGAAAATGGTATACTTTCCAGCTCATCCAAGCTTCTATAGATATGCATATAGTTATCTGGCATAGGTAGAAAAAGTGCTAGAAAGTTCTCTTCTTCGAAACCGGTCGAACCACAACTATGGAGTGAACCGCCCAGAGGACAGAGTCTCTCATTGAGCCAGTCCAGCATCCACAACCAACTAACCTAACCTATGCACACCTCTCTTTGTCTCTCCCCCTCTCTCTTTTTTTCTTTTGTTTTCTTTCACTCGCTCTTGCGCACGTTGTCCTGTAACCAATGCATGCCGCAGGCCTCGCGACGCGGCTCCGGCGAGAGCTATTTGTCTAGCAGCCGACGCGACAGCAATGCTGCGAGTCGCGTGACAACGCCGCCTCCACCACCCAAATACCAGATGACCAAGAAGCGTGACTCGTTGGCCGCACCGGAATTTCCCAATTTTCGGCAGGAGCAGCGTCCCTCGACCAGCTCCGCCGGCTCCTGCTCAGACTCTGTGCCATTGATCTCAACCAGCACTTATCACCATCAGCAGGTAGATTCCGCCTGCCAGGCATTGCCGCCGCCGACCATTATAACCAGCTCGGTAACGCCGCCGGCCACCAGTCCGACGGCGCCGAAGGGTCGCCGGGACTCCACCACGCAGTGCGGACGTGTCAATCGGCGCGACTCCAAGGCGGGCATCAGTCCGGAACGGGCGCCACGGCTGCAGCGACTACAGCGGCAAGCAACCGCCTTCGATGAGAGCTGCCTGCCCGGCGGCAGTCGACGGGGCTCCCAGCCAGCACTCAGTCCTGATCCACCCGAGGACTGTGAGCGTCGCACCTCACGGCGCGATTCCCTCTCGCCGGACAGCGCATCGCGCGGCGGTCGACGCGACTCCCGCACACATCTCTCGCCGGATCGCTCGCACGAGCGCGACGGAAGTCCCAGGCGGCATACGCTGCGACGGCAAAGCAGCTCGGCGGCCCGTTCACCACGCTCCCCGGACTCCAACAGCTGCTCCTCATCGCGTGATCCCAGCCCGTGCTCGCGCCCGCAAACGACCACCGTCGAACAGAATCAACGGCCCGCCATACGGCGCCAGTCCACCACCGAGGAGATTCTTATAGCGCGCGGCTTCCGTCGCCAATCGACCACCGAGGAAATGATACGTTGTCGCAACTTTCGACGCCAGAGCTCCCAGAGCGATGATGTCTGTCGGTGCGTAACGCAGCCCATCCCACACATACTCCCAGATATCCTCGACTAATCAAACGTTTATCTCCCTTGCAGCTATCGTGGCAGACGCGACTCATCGGCCCAGATCATTGATGGCACCATCGGCACCATGACCGTGGAAACAACTAGCACCTTTTTTGACTCCAGCACCCAGACAGGTGAGTCCCACATACATCTATTTCTTTAACTTACTTGTTGAGTACGACAAAAAAAAAACCCCCTCTTGCTTAACGATGGACAAAAGACATCAAAGACAGAGATCACAGATTGATTTGAGGGTCAAGTTGGGATTAGAAACTGATTCTACTTAATCTCATAATGCATTGAGAGTTACTCTACTGACCATATATAATAACACTTTCTGATAAGGCTAAGTGGCTTGATTCAGTTTTAACCTATAGTTATCTTATGCTATATTTTACAAAGATATACGAGAATGAGAGTATAGTTTATCTGACTAAGATTCAAATTTTGGAAACAACAATCTCTGGCCATTTTAGTCTAGTGAAGTGGAATTTGCGAAAAGCGTGAAAGAGAAATCTAATGTGTTTACACACTGATCCATCAAAAAGAGTGAGAAGTCTTTCCATTTAGTGGCGTGGAATTTACGAAACGCGTGAAACACGTCTCTATTGAGTTTTCACAAAGACCTTTGAATATGAGTGGAACGACTCTCATAAATGCATTTAACTGTATTTAGAAGACGGTCAGACGCAGAAGCAGAAGCTTTGGCTCAACAAAATAAGGGGACTCCTACAATATGTGGGCCTTAGTAAATATTTCTAGATATTTCAAAAAAACTTTGAGAATTTAAAAAAATCTGTTGAATTAAGATTAGTTAAGCTTTTGAATCTTTGCATACTCGTAGCTTTACTGTTTTTTATATTCCAAGGAATGCCCCTATAAGTGCCTGAATAAAGAGTTGCCAGAGATGATAGATAGAAATGTATTTTTCGATAGCAAAAGCTTAGCGAATAGTCCTTAAATAAATTGTCTTCACAGAGCATGTAAAGCGTAGAAGGAAAAAGAAGATTCTCAATATTGGCGCACACAATGAGGTATTAATAAAAACCAAATATCTGCAATCGGATGCTAGTCACAAAAAAACCATTCCCACTGAGCAGCAAATCAAATTGTTGTGCTGTAGCTTTGCTTCTAGTGGTCCATTCCATTCGAAAATAAATTTCTGAATGAGAACCGAGCATAAATCAGACATCAATGCGTTTTGTACAACGCTGCGTATGCGCAACATTTTTCATGCAATAAACGCAGCGTGAGCCACAAAAATTAATTTTCAATTCTGTTTTGGCTTTTTGATTGGACTTTTCAAACAATTGAAAATGCATGCACAGGGTTTTTTATTTTCTCAATTTTTTTGAATCTCTGTATGGAAAACTCGATTCAATTGCCTTTGACATGGCTTTCAAAAGATTAGCTGGTGGATGGACGGAACGTCGGGTTGTCTATCTTGCTGCAGACATAATATATATATATGTATATATATACATATATCTGTGTCTCCATATGAATCGGACAGCTATATAATAGCTGCCATAAGAACTATGGCTCGAGTTATTGAGCTCCTTTTATGTTAATCCTTTTATCTTTTCGACATACAATTCCTAATATGCTCACATCTCATATCTTATTGGAATTGGAGTACTACCTTCCATTTCATAGCTGTTCTTACTGGCAAGCATTTGAAAAGCAAATGAATACGAACAGCTCCACAGGCGTTCAATGCCTTTTTGTCTCTGTATGAAAAACTTCTTTGTTTAAACATCCTTGCAACAGAAAAAAACACTACTTCGGGCACACAAAGGTATCTACTGTTGAGTAAGATCACCACGGAAACTATATTTGCTATGCTATCGAAGAAGAATTTGAAATAACTTAAAGTAGGAACTTGGCGGACCAAGCTTGTATTGGGTGAACCTCCTTATATTATTATACCAAAAATATACTCTATATGCCCTAAGACATCCTGCATACCAAATTTGTTGTAGCTCTTAAAAGCATCAAGTCATGTACAAAAAACAGGGTGTCGATAGCCATTTTGTTGACATGGATCAATTTCTCAATGATTTGACATAAGTTCGACCATTTCGTGCACTACGAAATTACAAAGTCTCCGAGATCAATGCCCTCATATGGACAGACGTTCGAACCGAGAGACGGACATGACTAGCTCGACTCGGAAGCAGCTGCTGTTCAAGAGCATATACATATACTTTATGGGCCTGCCTCTGCCTGTTATATGCATATCAGAAAAATATAATACCCTTAAAAAAGCCTGCTCCAACTCGGACCAATGCATCAAATTGTTGGCGCGAATCTTGAAATTCAAATAGCCAACATAGAAGGGGGCTGCCAACTTATGCGCATATCCCAGAGAGCTTTGCCGTAAGCTTTACTCCATGGCATTTGTTGCTGTAGCCAGGAGAAACGTTGTAAAAGCTAGCGAAAGCTTTGAACAGCTGCTGCCGCTTGGCACATCAGCTGTTAACTGGCGCCGCGCTGCCAACTTGGCCGAGAAAAGGGATGCCAGCGCCAGGCTGAGGAGACGCTGGCAATGACAACGCACGCTTGCCGTGCATCAGTTGGTGTTGAATACCTCAACGTGCCACAACAGCAGCAGAGCAGAGCCCCAAGCGCCACGACGAGCACACCGCGCCCCAAAACATTCAGAGTCCGCGAGCTAAGAGGCGAGAGAAGAGACGCCACGCGGGTTCCCCAATATCGTGTCGAGTCGAGTCGAGTTGATTCAAGTTGAGCTGAGTCGAGAGTTGGCTAGTAGAGAGTTTCGCATCAGATATAAACGCGGCCTTTTTTGCTATTGTTCGCATCGTAAACTGTAAATACAAATGAAAATTGGCCCACAGCGTTACGTTTTCCATTTTCCCGCTCCGCGTGCGTACTCGCCCCTGCCGGCCCGCGTCCCCTCCACCGACACGACCCCGCTAGTTCAGTCTCTGCGCATAAATTTATTATTCGTTCCCGCTCTTTCTCTATTTACTTTACTTTTTTTTTGTTCCTGTGCCGCACTTCACATATCAAAAATAAAATAGAAAATTCAAATAAACAAAAAAGCATAAAAAAGTCGAAAAAAGAACCAGTTAAGCGCGCAAAAAGTTATTGTTATTTTGTTTTTGTTTTTGTGCGCGGCATAGTTTTAGGCGCGTGCAGCAACAACAACAAACGGCAGCGCGGTGGCCCAATCCGTCGCCACCGACGCTGCGGCGCTGCGCTACGGTCGCCGTCACCAGCAGCAGCAGCAGCAGCAGCAGCAACATCAGCCGCAGCAGCAGTCGACCAGCAGCAGCGCCAGCAGCAGCAGCAACCGCAGCCGCAGCGGTCTGTATATAATTTTAATAGAAAATATCTAGATATATGTATATAACATTTCATCTAGATTCCAATCCCATATCGTATGTTTATTTATCTAGTCAAGGCAACTGTTGCTTTTGCCCACAATCATCTCAAGTCTTTGAATAATATATATTCACATATATCTGAATAATTTATGATGGTTCCTATATAGGCTGAGATCAGGTGATTTGAATACTGTCTGAGCATATCAAAAGTTTAAGCTCTGACTATAGTGTTGATTTCTATATATAGGGTCTTACAGTAGACTTACCTTTTCTAGTTTAAGAGCTAAACTGTTTTCTCCGTATTTACAAATCCAAGAGTGATTTTTCAAACAATATACAGATCCATATAATATATCATATTATGTGTTATCATATCCACATTTCTGAAATAAACGTAGTATTTTGCATAATAAATATAAATATATGAGTATAAAATATAAAAAATATGTGCAACAATTAGACGAGCGGTCTATTAGTTCTTGTAGGTTTTTTGTTTTGGATCATTCTTGAATAGTATAATACATTTATGAAATATAAATATACCTCTAATCTAAAACAGTTAGGCCTTGAGAAATACTAAAATATATTTTTACAACATTATAATTCCCCTGCAAGGGTATAAAATTGTACTCAATGGATTGGATAATAGTGTTCCGTAAACTGAATTTGATTAACTCCATAACCAAGGAGCTTCGATTTGAAAAACTTTTGAGTCTTATTGTACCATAGAATATTTGTATATTCCCAAAAAGTTAAGTTAAGCTAAGTTGTGCTAGCGGGGAGCTGGCGATAGCTATAAAATGAAAGATACTTGATATATATAAAAACTATTCTAGAAGTGTCAAGTTTGGTGACTCTAGCTCTTATAACTCAAGAGATTTGCTCAAAAAACAGGATTTTGATATCGATTTTTATCGATTGCTTAGAAACGGGGCAAGTTATAGAATATCGAAAACTTGTACTACGCGGGCACTAGGAGGATCCACATTCCAAATTTCAAGACGGATATGGCTAGATCGACTCGGCTATTGATGCTGTTCAAGAATTTTTATACTTAATACGGTCGGAGATGCTTCCTTTTGCCTTTTACATACATTTGCACAAATACATTATACCCTGTTACCCATTTTTAATGGGTTCAGAGTATAAAAATTGTTTATCCACGTACTTTCAGAGTATCATAGGTAAAACGTATCACATTAATATTTCTTGAAATCATTTTTCAAAAATCGTAAGGCTTAAGTATTTTTAAGCCAGAGCAAAATTGGGTGGGCAGCTAAACATTTAAAGTGAAATATGCATTTTATGAATGTATGACAAACCGAATTGTGAATCAAAATCTGAGTTCGGGAATGCGTAAAAGCGTTTTGAAGAACCTAACCTAAGGACAGTCAATTGATTTGAATCGTGCTGCAAGCCACAAACTTTCCTGATTTATAGTTTTAAACATAATCGCTTTTGGTTGGTTTCAGATGTGGCCCAACGAATGCATACGAGTATTCAGATATTTAGATAGATATTTTATTTCTTTAAACCTCAGATACCTCCATGGCTTATGTAGGCATATTCACACTTACAGCCGTGGCTAAAGGGCTGATAGAACAATTTGCTCTCCGCTTCAGTTTCAACTGTTGCTCCTGTCTGGCTGTGATACACATGCGTATGCTTTATATGCATTGTTAATCTATGGGCGGTATCTATTTTGGTTATATATATATCACATGGCTAGATAAAACGTTTATCTGGGCGAGTTCCGAATTTCTCGCTCTCGTGCCCCAAAAAGC